CCGGGCTGGGGATTCAAACCCGCCACCTTAGGTGTATGTGGCTGGCGCCTCAGCCGCTTGAGCCACAGGCACCGAGCCACCTGTGAGGAGTTTGTGTGGCCTCATCCCTTCAGAACAGTTGAAGGAGGAGGGAGTAAATCACCCAACCAATCTAGCTTTAAAAGTAGCTCAAAAATAGTTAAGAGGCAATTAAATTACATCATGGTGTCCAAGATGAGGACAGAAAAGCAGAGCCCAACCGTGACAGTGATATGGTTGAAGCAGGAGAGCATCAGGGTTTCACAAGAAGGGACTCCTGGGATCCAGTGGGACTTGACTATTCAAGTCAGGGTCAGTCTTTTTATACTGAGTTAAAGCAAGCAGCTGGGAACTTAACAGTGAGCAGGGCTCGGTGGTGGCTCACACCTGTAATCCTAGCACTTTGGGAGGCTGAAGCTGGAGAATCACTTGAGCCTAGGAGTTGGAGACCAGCCTGGGCAACATTGTTTGACTCCCATCTCTACAAAAAAAAAAAAAAAAAAAAAAGAATCAGGCATGATAGTGCACACCTGTAATTCCAGCTACGTAGGCGGCTGAGGCAGAAGGTTTGCTTGAGCCCAGGAGTTTGAGGTTGCTGTGAGCTAGGCTGAGACCAGAGCACTGTAGCCTGGGCAACAGAGAGAGACTGTCTCAAAACAAGACAAAAAACAGTGGACAGACAATCTGAAATGGACAAAACTGAGTCATGGGGGCAGAAAGGTAATAAGCCAGAAGGGGCACATGCCCAAGGGCAATGGTAGCAGAGAGGGAAATGTGTGAATGCTTATGCTCAAGGCCAGGACAGAGCCACTCCAGGGACAGCCACCAAACACCCCACTCCTGTTCCAGAATACTGCTCTTAAGTTATACTAGGCAATCCCACTGCTGGGTGGTTAGTCTCTGGCAAGTTATTCAGCATTGGCTTGAGAGAGGTTAGAGGAGTCACTACTTTAAATCCACGGAATTATCCTATAGTAAAAAGAGCTGGTATTTGAGTATTTCCTATTTGCCTCATCTACAAGAGTGCTTCTGGACCAGCAGTTCAGGAGCACTGAGGCAAAGATTTTAGTCTCTGGTATGTACTTCTTGCTCAGCACCTACAATTTCATCTCCTCTCTTCTCTCTTACTCCTGGTTAGTAAATAGTGTTGTTTACAGCTTTCTAAGTCTCAGTATAATATAACAATTACATCCCTGATTTCAAATAGTCAAAAAATACACTTACATTAAAGGGTGATCCAATATGCACATGGATATATGTAAATGAAATAAAGGTGCCATAAATAAAACTTAAATTCACTAACTGTGACGTACTTTTTATTTCAATTCTATTGTTATTTCCTTTTTCAAAACACTGGTCACCGCCCCCTAAATTGATTTCACAACTGTTCTAGTAGACTCTATTCATATTCTTTAAACAAACCATTATAGAGGAAAAAGGTGACTCATAAACTGATTATAATCTGAAGAAAACATGCTCTGAGCTCAACAATTCCCCTTGGTCTAGTCAACATTTACTAGTTATCTTAATTTGTTTTTCAAATCTTGGAAAGAAAGGGTGCTATACAGAACCCCAGGGCCATGATCCCACCATCTTCATTAATTTCCCTCTTTCCGGGGTAATACTTCTTATTACAAATACATAAATCCATATTTTGATACACCTTCATGTCATATACATTAAAACTGGGCGATGTCTTCATTGGTCCAATGGCTCCCAGAACTGATGAACTTCACTGCACCAAGCTCTGCAACACTGGACTCTTCAGACAGAGCAAACCTTCTTGATACAGAAGATTATAATCTCTCTCATCACTGTACAACAGCACAATGACCTACAACACTCAACAGGATGACTCAGCACGGACGTTTAGTTCAATAAGGTTTTATTTAAAAATTTGCAAAGCTGAAGGAGGGATATGATCTTTTGTTAAAAGAAAGCAATTTTCACAGTATATATTTAGCCACTTTAGCTTTGTATCGAATAGTAACAGAAAAAGAAGTTTCTGTTCGAGATCCTAACTCCAGCATACTCGGCCAGGTGCGCTGCGTCATGTAGCAGGATGACACATTCCCTGGCCTGAAGCTCACAGCCAATCCCCTCACCCAAGTGGAACACCAGTTCTTCAGGCACTCGCACAAGGTCTCACCTTCACTGCTCTACACAGGGCCCTGAGAATCCTTAATTTTAAAGTTAGGAAAAATGTGAAAGGATTCCCTAACTCATTGCTTACAACAAGTCCAACTACCTGTTTAATTCTTAACAACTGCCAAGTATAAAATACTTGAAATTTCTAAGATGTTCCATTTAACAGAACTCTAATGTTAAAAAATTGGGTCAAGTAACACACGTTCATGTTGTAAAATGTTACTTAATAAAACGTATTGAGACAAGATATGCAGCACGCTCTTGTACTTGGTATTACAAACGGCCACGGACGATCACTACTTGATGGTCGAAGATGTAAAAGAGGAGAAGAAACCATGTATGTTGGTATCTAGCAACACCTGCAGGGAATGTCATGTCTTAAATTTTTGAAACCGAAATTAAACCTGAAAAAATGTCTATAAAACCAATACCCATGTCATCTAAAATGATGAGGTAGATTTTCCTATGTAGTAAAGTGAAGATAACAAAAACCATACAACTTTCAAATCCTCTTTTAAAAAAAAAAGGTAAGGTTATAGTCACTTTCATAAACAAACATTTATATATACTATGAGATGGAGAGCTCATACTCAGGCAAGTTCTATGTTTTACTTGGAGATTCAATAATCAGCCTTGGATCAATCAACTCTCTCCAGAAAACAGTGATCTGAGGAAAAATACAAAATATTCAGTTTAGGTACTTCATTTTGAGGTCATACAGGTTTTTAGTAAGTTAAAACTTCAGTCAAGTAAATTCCATTTGTACTGAATGGTCGAAGAGCTGGAATGACTGAGTTCCAACAAATTGGGTATAAGAACTCATTCACCTAGAATGCAGCTGAATTTTACATTCAACATATTTCATTTTCCTTGGATTAAGAGCAGGAGATACAGGGGTCGGGGGAAGGAGAAGCAGGTTATAAGGTGGTCAGGATTCGCCCTGTGGACGAGTGGCCCAAAGACTCCTTGGGAAGCAAATGTGGCCCAGATGGGTATCACTAGGCTGTTGCTGCCCTTTTGTGCAGCTCTATACCTCTTGTCCTATGCTGCCTAAAAACAGAACTGCCTACAGCTTACCAAGATAAAGCACTGACGACTAGCCCTATGGATGAATAATGAGGGCCATCTAGTGTCAAAAAAATGTAATTACAGGCTTTCTATTCTAACTTAGGCCTCTGTAATAGGGCAAAGAGAGGGAAGCCTCCAAGATTTAATTTTCCTTTTTTTTTTTTTTTTGAGACAGAGCCTCAAGCTATCCCCCTGGGTGGAGTGCCGTGGCATCACGCTCACAGCAACCTCCAACTCCTGGGCTCAAGCGAGTCTCCTGCCTCAGCCTCCCAAGTAGCTGGGACTACGGG